CCGCTGCTGTAGCCGCTGCTGCAGCAGCTGGTGCAGCCGCCGCTGCCCTGATGCAGCAGGACAGCAGCAGGGTAGCAGCAGGACAGCAGCAGGGTAGCAGCAGGGCAGCAGCAGGGCAGAGTTGCCTCTATGTGCAGCTGCACGGGCGTGAGGGCTAGCTGTCTCTGCACTGGCAGTGCGCGTTGGCAGCTACTGCGGCTGCTGCTGCTGTTGCTGCTGCTGCTGCTGCTCAGGGACACTGCGGTGCTGCTGGCCGCCCTGGAGCTGCTGCGGGGCCTCCTGGGGGCCCCCCTTGGCAGCAAAACTCTCGCTGGGGCCCTCCAGCCTTTTGCGCAGCTCCTCAAGGGGCCCCCAGAAGAAGCTGCAGTCAAAGACTCTCTCTTCCAGCTCTGCGTCTTCCTCAAAAGCCACTTCCAGGTGATACCCCCAGCAAACCCCAGGGGACCCCAGGGGCCCGGGGGGCCCCTGGGGCCCCAGGGGGCCCCGCAGCCCCAGGGGCCCCAGAGGCCCCAGGGGCTTCAGGGGCTTCGGAGGAACCAGGGGCCCCAAGGGCTTCAGGAGCTCAAGGGGCCCCGGGAGCCCCAAGGGCTTCAGGGGCCCCAAGGGCTCCAGGGGCCCCTGGAGTCCTAGGGGCCCCAGGGCACCTGCGAGCCAAGGAATAGCCTAGGGCCCCGGGGCCCCTGCTGGGCCCCTAGGGCCTTGGGCCCCTGGCTGTTTTCCCTGTGCCCCTGGGGCTCCTGGGCCCCAGGCTTTCTCCCTTTTCTTTTTAGCTGCATTTAGGGGGCCCCTACTGCTTTAAATGTTACTGGAGAGAGACAAACGCATGCAAAGCTGACTGGGAATCTTGCAGCGAACTGCCTGTCGTGTGTCTTTTTTGCTGCTGCTTGCTGTTGCGGCTGTTGCTGTTGCTGCTGCTGCTGCTGCTGCTGCTACTGCGCAGGACTATGCGGAGAGCCCGACGCTGCTGTCTTTCATGCTGGGGCCCTTCTTCGAGGGGGAGCTGCGGCAGAAGCAGCTGGACTATTGGTTTGGTGGGGAGGGGGGCCCCCTTCCGGGGGGCCCCTCTGAAAGGGTTCACTTTTTGCTGTCAACGGGGCTGACTGAGGCCACGGGGCCCCACATGCTGCGCCTTCTTGCTGCTGCTCTTTGCCACCCCGCAGGCCCAGCAGCAGAGGTCCCTCCTCCGGCTTCTCCGGGCCCAAACGCTGCTGCTGCTGCTGCTGCTGCTGCTGCTGCTCCCCGCCCCACATTCCGGGGGGCCCTGGAAGCTATTTCGCTGGCCGGGGCCAGCTCGCTGGTGGTGGGGACGCTTCGAGGGCCCCTTGGGTCTGGGGGGCCCCCGGAAGGGCCCTCGGGGGGCCCCTCGGGGGTCCCCTGGGGAGGATCCTCGGGGGGCCCCTGGGGGGCCCCCTGGGGGCTGGGGACTGGCCGTTTGGGGGGCGAGGGCAACAGCAGCTGGGGCGGGGCCTTTGAGGGACTTTCTGCAGTTCCTGTGTCTCCTTTTTCTTTAAAAGCAGCTGCTGCAGTTTCTCTTTTGGGCGGGGCATCAGCTGCAGCAGCAGCTGCAGCTGCAGACCCGCGGGCAACAGCAAGTGTGGGGCCCGAAGGGGGTCCCCAGGGGCCCCCTACGTGGCTGGGAAGCAGCAGCATTTTGGGCCCTTTCAAGGGTACTGGGCCAGGGGGCCCCCGGGGGGCCCCCATGAGCCGCGCTGCTGCTGTGGCGCTGCAGGAGCGACGCAGCCGCAGAGCTGCGGGGCTGCTGCAGCAGCAGCTGGAGGCCCTCGAGGGTAGGGAGGATATAGTTTTGCTGCAGCGGCCCTACTGGGGCCCCGGGGGCCCCCGGGGCCCCGGGGGCCCCACGGGGCCCCTGGGGGCCCCTGGGCGCACAGTGCGGCTGCTGGGCGCAGCTTGCGAGCTCAGCCAGGCCTTCGCCCGCGAGTTCCTGCTGCTGCTGCTGCTGCCCGGGGTTGCCCCGGGGGGCGTCCTTCCGAGGGGCCCCCTTAGGGGGCCCCCCGACCCGCTGGGGCTGGCGGCTGCAGGCAGAATGGCCCTGGAGAGGAGCTTGAGGGGCCCCCGAGGAGACCCGCAGCTCGTGGGCTTTCTGATGCGGCTGGTGCTGCAGGCCCTCGAGCAGCAGCAAACTTGGCAGCAGCATATTGGGCAGCAGCAAAATTTGCAGCAGCAAACTTGGGGGGGACCCCCGGCCCAAATGCAGACCCAGGGGCTGGGCCCTTTGGAGCTCTTTGAACTCGCAGAAGCTACAGAGACAGTTGAGGCTGCGCTGCCGCTGCTGCAGCAGCTCACCTGCATGCAGCAGAGCTGGCTGCTGCTGCACTACGGGGGCCCCCCACCTCAAGGGGGCCCCCGGGGGGCCCCCAGCTCTGTCAGTCGGGGCCTTTTGCCTTACTTCAGTGCCCTGCTTCGGGTGTACAGACACCTCGGCCAAAGCAACAGCTTCAAGTGCTGCCTGCAGCTTCTCGCGCTGCACCGCTGCGTAGACACAGACACTGCAGCAGCTTTGCTGCAGCTGTGGGGTGGGGGGCCCCCCGTAGGGGGCCCCCCAGGGGGCCCCCCGAAGAGCCCGCAGTGGCTGCAGGAGGCCCCAGAGGCTGCAGCAGCAGGAAGCCAAGAGACAGCAGATGCAGCAGACCCGGGGGCCCTGAGGCCCCTGCTGAGGGAGGGGCAGCTGCTGCTGCTGCAGCGAATGATGCAGTACGCGCGCAGCTGCTGCTTCAGGGGGTTTCCAGTTTTGTGTCTCCTCTGGAGCTGCCTGATGTGCCTTTGCTGCTGCTGCTGTTGCTGCTGCTGCTGCTTCCAGTTCCCCTGCCCACTTAGAGACTCAGCTGCCGCTGCCGTGGCTGCTGCTGCACACGCAGGGAAGTTGCTACTGCTGTTGCTGCTGCTGATGCATGTGGGAGCTGCTGCTGCTGCTATGCCCAGGTGGAAGCCGTTGCTCGACTTTGGCTCCGTCGCTCTCCGCTCCGGCCCCAGCCAGAGCGACACCAGCAGCAGCAGCAGCAGCAGCAGCAGCGGGTTGGCAGCTGTAGACGCAGCTCGCGAAGAGGCGCTGCTGCAGCAAACGGCGGAGACAGGCTCTGGCTGTTTGCTGCGTGCTGCTTTGGCTCTAAATCTGGGGGCCCAAGATGCAGCAGCAGCTGCTGCTGCTGCTGCTTTTCTATCGAAGCTGGCCAGGCACGTTTGCTGCTCTGTCTCCTCAGGCAGTAGCGCCTAAAAGAAGCACCGCAAGCAGAAGCAGCAGCAGCAGCAGCAGTAGCAGCATTAGCAGTAGCAGCAGCAGCAGTAGCAGCATTAGCAGCAGCAGCAGCAGCAGCAGTTAAGGGGCCCTCACCTCAACGACAGGGTTTCTAACGAGCAGCCCGGAGGCTATGCCGTGCAGGAGCTGCCCTTAGTCGCGAACTCTAAACCCTACACCCTAAACCCTAAACCCTAAGCCCCAGATTCTACACCCTCCAAACCCTAAATAACCCTAAACCATGAACGCTAGACCATAGACGCTAGCTGTAAACCCTAAACCCTAAACCACAGCAGCTCTCTCTCAAACTTGAATAAGAGAAGGCCAAAACCACCCGAAACTGCTAGCGGGCGTTTGGGGGCCCCAGGGGCCCCCAAACACTCCATGGGGCCCCCGGGGGCACCCGGGGGCCCCGGGAGCCCCAGAATCCTAAAGGCCCCAGGGGCCTAAGGGTACCCTAGGGGCCCCAGGGGCCCCGAGGTACCCAGGGGCCCCCTTGTGGGGCCCTTGGCCAAAGAAAGGCCTTTTACTTTGTGGTGTTTGCTGCAGGTTAGAGGAGCCCTTGTGGGGGCCCCCGGGGGTCGGGGGCCCGCGGCGCTGGGGGGGCCCCCCGGGGGCCCCCAGTACCCCTTCTCTAGCGAAGGCTGTGGCGTGCCAGCTGCTGTCGCTGCATGCAGTGAGCAGGGGGGCCCTGGGAGAAGCGTCGCTGCTGCTGCAGCAGGGGGGAGCTGCTGCAGCAGCAAGAGTGGCAGCTGCCAGCTGCTGCTGCGCCTCTCCTTCTTTGCTGGCCGAGGCCCTCGGCCGCTTGTCGCTGTCGCTCTTCATGCGCCGCTGCCTCGCAGCAGCAGCAGCAGACAGCGCGCAGCAGCAGCAGCAGCACGGGGGGGCCCCCCGGCCCCCGCTGCAGCTGGAGTCTCTTTTGCTGCGCGAAGTCGTAGGGGCCCCCGGCTGGCTGGGGGCCCCCTTTGTGCGCTGCTTCTGGGGGGCCCCCTTGCCCCTCTGCATGGACGCGCTGCTTACTGTTTCTGCCTTTGCGGGAACCCTTGAGCAGCAGCAGCAGCAGCTGCAGCAGCAGCAGCAGTGGGGAAGCCCCGTCGCCGCTGGCAGCAGCTGGCGCATTCGTTGCTGCGCTGCAGCCCACGCCGCGCTGCAGCTGGCGAAGCGCCCAGACGATCTCAGTACTGCCACCTTGCTGCTCCAGGACGTGCTGCAGTTGCAGCAGCAGCAGCAGCAGCCGCAGCAGGCTGCGCCTCCCCCCGACCTCTTCCGCGCTGTCATAAAGCTGAAGCTCGCTGAGCTGAGCCAGGTGTCTCTCGGGAGCAGCAGCAGCGCAGCTGCGAAGGCGCAGCAGCTGGTGCGTCTTGTGCAGCAGCAGCAGCAGCAGCAACAGCAGCAGCAGGGGCTGTTAGCAGCTGGGCTAGGGGACGCTCGGGCATCTCTGCAGCTGCAGCAGGAGACAGCAGCAAACCTGCTCTCGCTGGAGCTGTCCTGTCGCTGCGCCCTAATTCAGCAGCTGCAGCAGCAGCACCAGCGCAGCAGTTTTGCTGCAGCCCCGGGCTGCCCCGGGGGCCTCGCAGGCGCTGCTGCGGAGGCCCTGAGGGCCATTGACCGCATGCGCAGTTTGCCTAGCCTCGACTGCAGCTGCAGCAACGAGCCCCTGTGGGCAGCAGCAGCAGCAACTGCAGCAGCAGGAGCAGCAGGAGAAGCGACAGCAGCAGGAAGAGCAGGAGCAGCGGCAGCAGCGGGAGCCGCAGCAGCACATGGGCCCTGTGCTGGTGCGCACTCTAGTGCTGCAGCAGCACCGCATTCGGGAGCTGCTGCAGCTGCTGCAGCAGCTGCTGCTGCTGCTGTTGGCTCGCAAGCGCGGCTGAAGCATCTTTGGCGCTGCGCTGTTCTCGCTAAGGAAATCTTAACAGCTTTGCAAGGGGCCCAAGAGAGCAGCAAAGCTTCTCTGGAGACAAGCCACAGCTGCGAAACCCCTGCAGCAGCAGCAGCAGCAGCAGCAGCAGCAGCGGAGCCAGCAGCAGCAGCAGCAGCAGCAGA